CAGTGGTAGAGCCCCTGCCTAGAATCCCCCAGTGAGGGGCTGGGGGCCTTACCTTATCTGTATCATACTTCCTTAGCATGTACAAGGTCATGAATTTCATCCCCTGCATTGGGTTCGGGCGTTGAGGGAGAGTCGGGCCTATAAACTTTAATTTCTGTTTCTTATGTTAGTTTTCAGCTCACAGTGGAGATGTTTGATTACCTGGAATGTGAACTGAACCTCTTCCAGACTGGTAAGTCCCTTCCCTCTTTGCCGAGCCAGGCTATGATGGGAATCAATCTCCTGCATGGTCCAGCTGGTCTAGCCCCTTTGCTGTTGGTCTTTGTTTTCATTCCTGACAAAATCTCTGTAGCGCAGGCTGGCCGTGATCTCCCAGCATCCTCCTTGCCCAGCCATCTGAGCATCGGGAGTACAGGCTTGCACTTCCATTTCCATCTGGCTGAGGTCTGTTTGTCACGCAGCTCAGCAGAGAGCATCGAAGCAGGCCTGTCACGCCAGCCTTTGCTTTCTCCTCGTAGGCAGAGGTAGACACTCCTGGACTTTTTTTTAGATCTGCCCACCTCTGGCTTCAGAGTGCTAGGACTAAAGGCGCATGCACCAGGCTGCTCCCGAACATTATTGGAGAAGGTTATTTCATGTCACATAGGGAGACCGGCCACTCCCTCCCCTGACCCCAAGGAGCTTCCCTCCAGAAGTCCTGGCCATCAAGCTCCCAGGGACTATTTTGTCCTTTATAATAGCCATGGATGGTGGCCACAGTCCCAGCAGGTCCTGTCTGTGATTGGACCTGATCTCCTACCAAGGCACACTTTCTGCTAAGAAGGAGGGTCAGTCTTGAGCTGGAGATACGGATCAGCTTGTAGAGTGCCTGCCTGGTGCACACACAGCCCTGTATATGACTGGATATAGTGCGCGTACCTGTAATTCCAACACTTGGGATTAGCAGATCAGGGACATCCTAAACTCCTCGTCGTATTGGGACCAGCATGGTGTGTCAAAGACTATCTCAGAACAAAAGCAGGATTTACAAGCCCTATCCAAGAACTGCGAGTCAGGAGGCAGAGAAATCTGTAAGTCTTCCTGCCCAGCCTGCTTAGCCAACCTGGTGAACTCCAGGCCAGTAAGAGACACCAATGTCCACTCCTTCTCTGCCACCCCTTACTTAAATTTGTTCCGTTTTGTTTTCTTGACACAAGGTCTCACTAGGTAGCTCTGACTGTTCTGGAACTAGCTCTGTAAATCAGGCTGGCCTCGAACTCACAGACATTATCTGCCTCTGCCTCCTGAGTGCCAGGATTAAAGGTGTCATCACTGCCTAGCTAGATTTTTAAATTATATACGCATGTGTACGGAGGTTTATATACATGAGTGCTGTTGCTTGTAGAGGCCAAAAGAGGGCATCAGATCCCATGGGGCTAAAGTTACAGATAGTTGTAAGCTACTCTGCCCTGTGCGGGTACTGGGAACGGAAGTTGGGTCATCTGAAAGAGCAGTGAGAAATTCGGGACTACTGAGGTATCTCTCCAGCCTTGAATCCTGTCTTTAAAAAGAAAAGAAAAATGAAGAGTGGAAGCAACTGAGGATACCAGGGGTTGACCTTTGGCCTCCATATGACCCCACCACCACCTACACACCTGCATACTCCCCCAACACACACACCACACACACGTTTACCCAAAAAGCCAAAGCTGAAAAGCCTGGCTCAGGCAGCCTTGAATTGCTCACTGGTTTCATCAGACCTTGTGAGACATGGTCTATCATACCCATGGTGCTTCCCGAACAGCAGCCGAGGTCCAGCCAGGCTGAGGACTATATCTACAACCACGATGCTGTAGCTGGGGTTGGGGGTCAAGGGGCATTCCCGGGAGCAGATGGAGATAGCTCCGGTTTCTTGTCAGATAGGAGCCTGAGGAAGCTGGTGGACACCGATGCCTGCATTATAATGACAACTGCTTTTTTTTTTTTTTTTGGTTTTTAGAGACAGGGTTTCTCTGTATAGCCCTGGCTGTCCTGGAACTCACTCTGTAGACCAGGCTGGCCTCGAACTCAGAAATCCGCCTGCCTCTGCCTCCCAAGTGCTGGGATCAAAGGCGTGCACCACCACTGCCCGGCGACAGCTGCTTTTAATTTGTGTCAAGAAAGGCTGCCTTTTAATTAGGGTGGTTTGGTGTGGATGGTTCTTTTTTCTCTCTCTGTCTCTCCATCTCTGCCACCTGACAAGGTGAAACAACCCTAGGGCTCTGTGCTTACTCATGGCCCCTAGTAAGCTACCCACACGTTGAGCAACAGGGAGGTCTTGCGTTGCTGCTACGTATAGTCTCCAGGCTCAGTGGACAGCTAGTGCAAGACAGTCAGCCTTTGCCAGGGAGTGAGATGACAGCCTACAGCCAGCTCATCCGCCATCTGAGTATAGAGGAAGGGAATGTGGGTAGATGCCGGGACTAAGAAATTGAGGAGAAATCTGTGGCACAGTTGGTAGAGTGCTTGCCTAGCATGCATGAAGTCCAAGGTTCAAATCCTGTGTAAACCATGCATGGTAGTGCATACTTCTCCCAGCACTGAGGCGGTAGAGGCAGGGAAAAAGTGGAAATACGTTGAGTGTTTCTGGTCAGCCTGTGGACAGACTTTTTTTGTTTGTTTGTTTGTTTGCTCTGTGTAGTCCTGGCTGTCCTGGAACTCACTCTGTAGACCAGGCTGGCCTCGAACTCAGAAATCCGCCTGCCTCTGCCTCCCAAGTGCTTGCAGGCACACTGAGTCTGGTTGTGTATCATGCCTGCTTCTGCCCTCCTGTGGAGCTTCCTACCTCACTGTGGTCTACCTTCCATCTTCCTCCGTAGTGTTCAACTCCTTGGACATGTCCCGCTCGGTGTCCGTGACCACAGCTGGCCAGTGCCGCCTCGCACCGCTCATCCAGGTCATCCTGGACTGCAGTCACCTCTATGACTACACGGTCAAGCTGCTCTTCAAGCTCCACTCCTGTGAGTATGACAGTCTCAGCCATCTCCATCAGGCTAGGCACAGGCTCACAGCCTCAGCACGCTCCCAGACGTCTGCAGGCAGCGCACTCCGTACCCTTGGCCTTCTGCTGTGGTCCAAAGGGCCTTTGGCTCCCAGTGATCTCACAACGAAAGGGAGCAATCCAAGGTTGAGATCACCAAGTCCAGCTCCTGTCCTTGCAGTCTGTGTCTTAGGATGGTTCTCTCTGTCCACCTCCACCTCCAGCTCCACCATTCACCAGGATATGATGTCTTCTTAGACCCACAGAGAGAACAACACACCTACAGGAGCTAATAGTGACCTCCAAACCATCTAGCAACCCAGTTCGTTATAACAGATGGAATTTTATAGAGAAATAGGAAACAAAACAAAACTAGTGTAGCTCACTAGTAGAAAACTTGCTGGGGCTGGGCGGTGGTGGCGCACACCTTTAATCCCAGCACTTGGGAGACAGAGGCAGGTGGATTTCTGAGTTCGAGGCCAGCCTGGTCTACAGAGAGAGTTCCAGGACAGCCAGGGCTACACAGAGAAACCCTGTCTTGAAAAACCAAAAGAAAAAAAGAAAAAAGAAAACTTGCTGGGAAGCCCTTAGCTGAGGTTTATGGTACAGCATTTGGTATAATCCCCCAGTAAGGTGTTGGGGGCTTGGCCCAATGTTAGAGCCCCTGCCTATGAGGGGCTGGGGGTGTGGCTCAGTGGTAGAGCCCCTGCCTAGAATCCCCCAGTGAGGGGCTGGGGGTGTGGCTCAGTGGTAGAGCCCCTGCCTAGAATCTCCCAGTGAGGGGCTGGGGGCATGGCTCAGTGGTAGAGCCCCTGCCTAGAATCCCCCAGTGAGGGGCTGGGGGCGTGGCTCAGTGGGAGAGCCCCTGCCTAGAATCCCAAGTGAGGGGCTGGGGGCGTGGCTCAGTGGGAGAGCCCCTGCCTAGAATCCCCAGTAAGCTGGGGTGTGACTTAGTTGCCAAGATCTTACCTAGCATACATATTGCCCTGAATTCAATCCCTGCCGTGCAGAATGATGAAATACACATGGATGTGGTGGCATATGCCTACAGTCCCAGCAGGAGGCAAAGGTAGAAGGATCTCTGCCAGTTCAAGGCCAGCCTGAGCTATGCTCCATTCTAGGCAAGCCTTGTTCATACATTAGGATACTTTCTTAGAAATAAACCAATTAACAAATCACAGTTGATCCAAGAAAGGGAAGGCTATATCCTGCCCAGCAGCGACCCTCTGTACCTTAACAAAGCATAGTCTGAGAGCTGTGAGCTTGCAGAACTTCTTAACCTTGTTGACCTCATTTTAAAATCTGGGGTGATGGGGCCTCCTGGTGTTAAGGGCAGGCTGGTTGGGGCTACAGGCGTGCTGGCAAGATGGCTCAGGGGACAAGCACTTGCCACCAAGTCTGATGACCTGGTTCTCTTTTCAGAGCCCACATCATGGAAGGAGAGAACCTACCACACAAGTTGCCCTTTGACCTTCACACATGCACATGGATGCAGGGGCACAGCCATACAATCAATCAATTCATTTGTTTTAAATGTGGGGGAGCAGGCTCCTCCAGGGCCAGCTTAAATAGCTGCCTCATACCTTCAGAAACTCCATCTTTAAATGCAAATTCCCCAGCTAAACCTGTTGTAAATCTTCACTGGTAGATTTTAGGCAGGCGATCTACCACCAAGCCCTGCTCTCTGCCCTTCATTGTCAAATGCCAAGGTGGCTACCCTGAGGAATGCCCACAGCATGGTGGGAAACCTAAAACCTTGAATGGATGCAATTCAGGTTTCATAGCCCAGAACAAGCGTGTGTGACTGAGCTGTGGCAGTAAGTACCATAATCCGAGAATTTTGAAGGTTCAAGAGGATTGGAAATTTATTGTCAACCAGGGCTACATGATAAATCCAAGGCCTTCCCAGTTGACATAGCAAATCCCTGTCCCAAGAGGAAAAAAATAAATAAAATTAAACTTTAAAAAGTGTGTGTATGCACACAACACACACACACACACACACACATATGAAACAAGCAATATTTCATAACAGTTGACTTACAAGTAATGACCTGGTTGTGGCTTTAGTTTTTACATGTTTTTTATTTCATTTATTTATATGTTTATTCATGTGTTTGCTGCATGCGTGTGTGCTTATACACACATGTAGAAGTCAGAGGACAGTTTCCAGGAGTCAATTCTCTACTTTCATCATACAGGTCCCAGAAACGCAGGCCATCAGGCTTGGCAGCAAGTGCCTCTACCTAGAACCACTCCCCAGCCACACCTGGTTATTTGAAACTGGATAAGAGAAGCAGTCCTTGATTAATCTGGGGTCATTTCCCTCGAGGCTGCATGCAATTTGCAATTCCAGGATTAGAAGGGTTTGGTACCCTAGGGTATCCCTACAGGAAGCAGAGAGGATGGACCAAATCCCAAGGGAAGGAGAGCCTGTTGCTTAGAAACCCGTCAGTTACAGGCAAGGAGTAAGCCCTGTTGGCAGAGGGCTTTCCTCGCTGGCTGGTGTGGGAACCTGCAGTCCCGGCCCTCCACCCCGACTCCCTCCAGGACCACACCCGTGTTCTCAGCCCTTGAGATATAGAGGCAAGAGAATCAGGTCAGCCTGGATTACACGTCAAGATATAAACAGATACAGATGGGGGCTGGAGACGTGGCTCAGCAGTTAGTAACCCTGACTGCTTTCTCAAAGGCTCTGGGCTTGATTTTCAACATCCACATGGCGGCTCAGAACTATCTGTAACTCTAGTTCCCGTAGATCCGACATCCTCTTCGGTCTCCTGAGGGCTTTTCATCCATTTTGTACACAGACATACATGAAGGTTAAGCACTCGTGCACAAGCATAAATTTAAAAATAGTTAAATAAAAATAAATACCAAGTATAGGTGAACTTTTTTTTTTTGTTTTTTGTTTTTTTTTTGAAACTGGGTTTCTCTGTATAGCCCTGGCTGTCCTGGAACTCACTCTGTAGACCAGGCTGGCCTCAAACTCAGAAATCTGCCTGCCTCCCAAGTGCTGGGATTAAAGGCGTGCACCACCACTGCCTGGCTTACTTATGTATTTTTGTTTTGTTTTGTTTATTTGAGAGAGTTTTGTGTACACCAGGTTGGCCTTGAACTCAAAATATAGCCCAGGATAACCTAACCCTCCTATCTCTTCTCTGCTCCCAGACAGTGGGATTACAGGCATAAGCCACCAAGCCCAACTTTCTGTTGTTAATGTATTAGCATGTTATTAATGTATTAGCATTAATATAGGCTCATAAACTGAGCCTATATTAATACTGTTCTGTGTGCTATAAAGGAACATTTACTAGGCAAGAACTTTACTGCTGAGTCACACCCCCAGCCCCTCCCTGAGGGATTCTAGGCAGGGGCTCTACCACTGAGCCACGCCCCCAGCCCCTCACTGGGGATTCTAGGCAGGGGCTCTACCACTGAGCCACACCCTCAGCCCCTCACTGGGGGATTCTAGGCAGGGGCTCTACCACTGAGCCACGCCCCCAGCCCCTCACTGGGGGATTCTAGGCAGGGGCTCTACCACTGAGCCACGCCCCCAGCCCCTCACTGGGGATTCTAGGCAGGGGCTCTACCGCTGAGCCACGCCCCCAGCCCCTCACTGGGGATTCTAGGCAGGGGCTCTACCACTGAGCTGTGTCCCTAACATTTTATAACATATTTTCAGCTAAAGTTAGTACTTCAGTCCGTTATTCATAATTCTTACGCAGTTTCCTTTTTCTAAGATGGGATCCCGTAATACTTAGTCACTGCTTCTTCTTAGGCCCATTGTAGCTTTGACAGCTTGACAGACTTCCTTTGTTTTTGATGACCTTGACAGGTTTGAGTTCCGGGTTTTTTTTTTTTTTAAATGGAATCTTCCTTATTTCAGCTTCTACTGTATTGGTGTCATAGTATAACAGGTTAGGGTTTTGGAATTAAGTGCAATTTCTATCCTCAGTCTAATTCTATCTTTTTGGCTTGTTTTTGAAACAAGGTCTCCATGTAGTCCTAGCTGATCTTCAGCTCTGTATCTGCCTGGCTCAAAGTCCTCACTCCTCCTGCCCCCGTCCCCCACCCCTAGACAAGATTTCTCTGTAACAGAGCCCTGGCTCCCCGGGACTCACTCTGTAGACTAACTGGCCTCCAACTATCAAGATCTGTCTGCCTCTGTCTCCTGAGTGTTGGGATTAAAGGTGTGCCCCACATAGTCACATTGGCACATTCATATTACCTTCAAAAATGAGAATTTATACATATACTTTTTGATTATATCACTCCTTCAAAAACAATTAAAAACAAAGCTTGTTGGCATTTATTTGTAATCAGAGGCAGAAACAAGAGGATAGTCAAAAGTTCCAAGCCAGCCTGGGCTACATAGTTAAGTTCCAGGTCAATCAGGGCTACGGTGTGAGAATATGTCTCTAGTAAATGAAGAAAAAGCACAGCATGGTGGCAGGGTTTGTTGTTCTTGGTACCAGAGATGGTGAGGCAGGAATATGGCGTATATCCAGGAGTTCAGGACTAGCCTGGGTAACATACTAGACTCATGTGTCAGAAAATAAAACGAGAGGTAAAAGGAGGGGAGGAAACTTGGGAAAAGGGGCAGGGGGATTTAAATTGGTAAAGGAAATAAAGTCAGGTGTGTAGCCTGTTGCCTGTAATCCCAGCACATAGGAAAATGAAGCAGGGGGCTCATGAGTTCAAAGCCAGCCTGAGCTATATGGCAAGACCTGCTCTCAAAATTAAATAAGATGGCTGGGCAGTGGTGGCGCACACCTTTAATCCCAGCACTTGGGAGGCAGAGGAGGGTGGATTTCTGAGTTCGAGGCCAGCCTGGTCTACAGAGTGAGTTCCAGGACAGCCAGGGGTACACATAGAAACCCTGTCTCGAAAAACCAAAAAAAAAAGAAAAAAAAAAGAAAAAAGAAAAAAATTAAATAAGATGAAAACTGAGTTTTGATGCATGGTTCAAAGCCTTTCGTGGTCGGCCAGATGAAGGGATTTCAGAGAAGCAACTCCTTAGTCAGGGGTTAGCTCTGAGGACCAGTGCTTCTGCAGTGTGACAGAATTAGCCATCTACACCCTGTGGCCTAGGATGCACCCCACCCCTGAGAGAGAACCCCGCCCCCACTTGCTCTCATCAGTCCTGCAGTTGATGGAGCCACGCCTTCCCCAGGGATGCAGACTCCCATCTTGCCAGGCCCAGAGCCGTGAAGTGGAAGAATGCAGTAGCTGAGTATCCTCCAGTTGCAGGGCTTCCTTAGTTACCAAACTTCAGGACATCTCAGCTAGGAGTGCTAGCCTGGGAAGGCTGGCCCCTCCCTTGGCCCTGGTGGGGCTTGCATGCCCCACCCCCACCCCCCATGAACTTATATGTTCCAACCGTTTTCCTCCAGGTCTTCCAGCTGACACCCTGCAGGGCCACCGAGACCGCTTCATGGAGCAGTTCACAAAGTAAGTGGCCCTAGGGAAGGGAACGAAATCCAAGCACTAAGTACCATCCAGGGCCAGGGTAAAGTACCTGCAGCCTAAGCGTTAGGACCTGAGTTCAGATTCCTGGAATGCACGGAAAAAGCCAGGTGTGGCTGAGCACATCTGTAACATGGGAGACAGAGCCAGTGGGACCCCTGAGCTCAGTGCCCAGCCATACTAGCAGAGTGTCGAGTTCTAAGCGCAGTGATAGACCCTGACTTAAATTCAAGTGGAAAGTGTTAGAGAGGAAGACATCTGGCATTGACTTATCACCTCTGCACCTGTGTCGCATATATGTACTTGTCATCTGTACACACACACTTATTCACACCACATACAAATATATACACAGGCTGTGGTTTGTATATGCTCGGCCCAGGGAGTGGCACTATTAGAAGGTGTATCACTGTGGGTGTGGGCTTTAAGACCAGCATCCTAGTTATCTGGAAACCAGTATTCTGCTAGCAGCCTTCAGATCAAGATGTAGAACTCTCAGCTCCTCCTGCCCCATGCCTGCCTAGACACTGCCATGCTTCTGCCTTGATGATAATGGACTGAACCTCTGAACCTATAAGCCAGCCCCAATTAAATGTTGTCCTTATTAGAGTTGCCTTGGTCATGGTGTCTGTTCATACCAGTAAAATCCTAATTAAGACACATACAAATGTCCACACTCGGGGTGAGCCTTCCCTCTTCAGTTAAACCTCTGTGGAGAACCTGGAGGTGGTTGTGGTGTGTACCTTTAGTCCCAGCATTCCAGGTCTCTGTGAGTTTACCACCAGCCTGGTGTACATAGTGAGTTCCAAGAGAGCCAAGCTTAAGTAGAGAGACCCTGTCTCAAAAAACCAAAGCCAAACTAACAAAATCTCTGTGGCCACACCCAACAGACATGGCCAGGGTGTGTCTCTTACATAATTTTAATTCTAGTGACGTGAACACTGCAGATCACACCCCCACCTCACCCTTCCTCCCCAGAGCTCTTGTTTTGTTTTGTTTTGTTTTCTTCCTTCCCCCTCCCCTTTGCCTCCTCCCAGCCACATATCCCCTTCTGCTCAGGTGTTCTACACATGCTTGTATTGAAGTCTAGAGCCTACGTAGTAGAGAAAACATGTAAACACTTGACTGAGTCTGGCTTCTTTCACTTAGCTTGATAATGCCCAGTTCCCTGCACGTGACATCCCTTTAAAAATCATTTTATCACATTTATGTAGTATGTGTGTGTATGTGTGTGTGTGTGTGTGTGCACGCGAGCGTGCACATGAATCCATGGAACATGCCTGAAGGTCAGAGAACTATTCTCAGGAGTCAGTCAGTTCTCTCCTACCACGTGAGACCCAAGGATCTAATGCAGGTCTTAAGCTTGGTGGCAAATTTCTTTACCCACTGAGCCATCTTGTCAGTTCTATAATTTCTTCACCCTTGTGGCTGAATGAAACCCCTATCCTGTACATAGACCGCATTCTTTTTATCTATTCATCTGTCGACAGACATAAAACGCTTTCCGTGTCTTGGTTGTGAATAGCACCACGGTGCCCACCGGTAGGCAGGTATCTCTTTGCTGGATGTTGAATTAACATTCCTTCAAGCATATACTGAGCCGTGTTACTGACAGACCATATGGTATTTCTAGTCTTTTGAGAACCTTTGAGTTTCATTGTGCCTAGACCACTATACCTTCCTGCCAACAGTGTGTTAGGGTCCCTCTTAACCAATATTTTCACCCCCATGCTTGTTTTCTTGAGAGAAAAATGTCTCAGTGTGGTTTTAATTTGCATTTTCTTGGTAGCTAAAGAAGATTATTGAGCCATATGTATGTATGTATATATGTATGTATGTATGTATGTATGTATGTGTACATATTTGTATATATGTATACATTGGTGTCTTAGTTTCATGTCTATTGTAATAAAAATACTCTGACTTAAGGCAACTTAAGGGCAAAAGGGCTTATTGGATATAGAGTTCCAGGTACAGTCTGTTATTTCAGGGGAGTCGAGGTAGGAACTTGTGCGTCTAGACACATCATATCCACAAGCAGAGAAAGAATGGACGCATGCATGCTTGTTGCTCAGCTAGCTTTATCTACTTCAAGGCCCCAAGCTAGGGAATGGTGCTGCCCACAGTGGGCTAGGTCATTCCATATCAAATAAGACAAATTAAGACAATCCCTCACAGTCAACTTCGTGGTCCCATGATGAGACTCTTTCCAGATCATTCTAGACTGTGTCAAGTTGGCAATTCAAGCTAATCTTTATAGTTGACCCTTTGTATTTCTTTACTTTTGTGAATTGTTTGTGAGGCAGCCGTGTTGACTTAGCTTGTTTTCTCTGTTAACGTCTTCATCCTTGACCGTGGCTTCTAAATCCCTGGCTGGTGCTTCTTATTCATTCCCTTGGGAGAAGTCAAAGAACAAACACAGGGCTGAACTCCAAACACAGGGTTGAACTAAGCCCTTAAGTTTCCTCGTTCCACTGGGGAAGTCTGTTGTGTGTCCTATGATGAATGACTTGCTAAATCCTGGGAGACAGGCCCTGAGGCTGCTTTCCTGGAATGTGAAATTCCAGTAGCTTGCAAAAGCACTAACATCTATTACTGTTGGCACCAACCCAGAGAGCCAGGACGTGTGCTCAGCTCATTTTATTTCCTTCCCCATCCCCCACCCCAGCTTATGAAAACGTCTCCTGTGAGTAGCTGCTTCATTTTGTCTTCCACATGTTCTAGGAGGCCTCGCTGTCCTGAAGTACAGGGATACTTTAGACTTGGGGTCTGATAGGCCATGGTGAGACCCTGGGGAGGGACTAGTTGATGGGCAAATGAAGTTCTACACTGCAACCAAGGTCTGCTGGAGCTTCAGCTCCTCCTTTATGTCGGCTTTCTTGGTCTATAATGTTTTCACTCTGATTAGAGTCTTGACAAGGAGGGAAGTGCATTCTGGGGCTCAGCGTTTGGCTTAGTTGTACAGTGCTTGCCTACCATGTGTAAAGCCCTGGGTACCAACCTGTGGCCCTGTGGAATAGCCTGGGATAGTGAAGGGAAACAGGATAGGGTAGGGTAGAGAAAGAAATAGAATACAATAGAGAAGAGTGGAAGGCAAGGAAGAATAGAGAACTATGGGATAGGATGGAATGAATAGAATAGAGTAGAGGATAGGGTAGGGTAGGGTAGGGTAGGGTAGGGTAGGGTAGGGTAGGGTAGGGTAG